TTGTTATCAGAGGCTTCATAAGTTGGGTATTGTACATCAGCATGGAGTAGAGTTCGTGACCTTCCAACTTCAAGGTGAGGTTAAGCAGTGGTGGAGGGCCTATGTGGAATGCAGATCGTCAGTTTTTCCCTCATTCACTTAGACGCAGTTCCATGCTCTACTTCTGGAAAATTATGTGCCCCAGACTTTGAGGGATCGCAAGAAGGATGAGTTCATGGTTTTGGAGCAGGGTAGTATGTATGTAGCTTCTTATAAGGCTAAGTTCCACGATTTGCCTAGCTATGCTACACAATTGGTGACTACTGAGGAGGGGAGGATTTGTCTATTCGTCAAGGGACTGAACCCCGAACTACAAGTATTGTCTGTTCACATGACCTTTGCAGGGAAAAGTTTTAATGAGGTGACATATTTTGTGAAGAGTGGAAGGAGTTAGATGTGATGGGCAGGCCAAGGCTTTGCTAAGAAGCCCAAGAGCACTGGTAACTTCTATGGTTGTTACTCCAAAGGTTCAAGTAGGCCGACACTTGTAGCCCAGCCAATTCAGTTAGTCTTGCCCACATCTACAGGTAGTTACTCGGGAACTCCACATCATAATTTTATTTAGGATAGCTAGGGAGTTGCACCTTCGGCAGGCAGCATGCCATCTCTTGACCGCACATGTTATAATTGTGGAGAACCTAGGCATATGAGGAGAGATTTTCCCCACCCGCACTTGTTATAATTGTGGAGAACCTAGGCATATGAAGAGAGATTTATCCCACCCGCACTTGTTATAATTGTGGAGAACCTAGGCATACGAGGAGAGATTTTCCCCACCCACACATGTTTGACCCCGCGCAGTAGCAGACTAGAGCGGTGGTACCAATGGGCAACAGTAATAATGGCAAAGAACGTCCACAAGGTGGTCGAGGAGGGAATCAGCGAGGCCGTGGAGGCCGGGGAAAGGGTAATGCATGTAGAAGACCAATGCAGCCTGGCAATAAGGTTGTTCATCCAAATGACAGGGCTTAGTATTATGCCTTTCCGGGAAAGAGCGTGGTAGAGTCTTCTGACATAGTGATCAAAAGTACTATTCTTGTCTGTGACCGAATGGCTACTATTTTGTTTGATTCGGGTTCTACTTACTCCTATGTGTTAGTTCAGTTTGCCTTGGGATTTGATGCAGTTTGGTATGTACTTGATACCCCGTATCCATGTTTCTACCTAGTTAGAGAGTCTGTCATAGTCACCCATGTATATCGTGCTTGTCCTGTTTTGTTATGGTTTTCAGACTTGGATTGATTTGGCTCATCTAGATATGAAGGACTTTGATATAATCTTAGGCATGGCGTGGTTGTCCTCATATTATGCTCTGCTTAATTGTAATACTAAGTCTATGAATTTAGAGATCCCAAGTAGGGAAAAGTTTGAGTGGGAAAGAGTGTACAAGCCTAAGCCAGCTAAGGTCATATCTTTCATTCGGGCTAGGAAACTGGTGGGGAAGGGATGTTTGGCATATTTGGCTCATATTCGGGACGTTGATGTTGAGTTTCCCTCTATTGATTCTATTCATGTGGTGTCTGAATTTAAGGAAGTGTTTCCTACCAATTTGCATTGTATGCCTCCAGATAGAGATATCAATTTCTGTATTGACTTGGAGCCAGGTACTCGCCCCATTTCCATCCCTCCTTATCGCATGGCTCCGGTAGAATTGAGAGAGCTTAAGGATCAAATCTAGGAGCTTCTTGATAAAGATTTCATCCATCCTAGTGCTTCCCCGTGAGGTGCTCCTGTCTTGTTTGTTAAGAAAAATGATGGTAGTATGAGGATGTGCATAGACTACCGGCAATTGAATTGGGTCACCATTCGAAATAAGTAATCATTTCCTCGGATTGATGATCTATTTGACCAGCTGCAAGGTACGTCAGTTTTCTCTAAGATTGATCTAAGGTCAGGTTACCATCAGTTAAAGATTAGGCCTGAGGATGTACCCAAAACGATATTCAGGACCCGCTATGGGTACTACGAGTTTTTAGTGATATCATTTGGATTGACCAATGCGCCTGTAGCCTTCATGCATTTGATTAATGTGTCTATATCATTCCTAGATTCTTTTGTTATTGTCTTTATTAATGACATATTGGTTTATTCGAAAAGTGAGAAAGAGCATGCCGACCATCTTCATATAGTTTTGGGTGTCCTCCGGAGACAAAAGCTATATGCAAAATTTTCCAAGTGTGAGTTCTGGTTGACTTCAGTTACCTTTTTGGGGCATGTAGTTTCAAGGGAAGGGGTAATACTACATCCCTAAAATATTGAAGCGATTAAGAATTGGGTCCGGCCTAGCTCTGTTACTGAAGTTAGGAGTTTTATAGGGCTCTCTAGCTACTATTATTGGTTTGTGAAAAACTTTGCTTCTATTGCCATGCATTTGACAATGCTGACCAAAATGGAGGTGCCTTTCGAGTGGACCGACTAGTGTGAGGAGAGCTTCCAAAAGCTTAAGACCCTTCTAACCTCAACATCTTTCTTGGCACTTCCGGTGGAAGGAAAGGATTTCATTGTTTATTGTGATGCTTCAAATTCGAGTTTGGGTACTGTGTGATGCAGGAAAAGAATGTTATATCTTATGCATCGCGGCAGCTAAAAATGTGTCACGATCCAGGGGTACCTCCTAGATGTAACAAGCGTAATCAACCTCGAAAGGTCTCATACAAGCCCCTTAGCATATCATAACATATGATAAAAGAAATGATGGGGAAATTTTAAAACTCTATCCGTACAATCAAAGTCTTTTATAAAATCAAGCGAAAGTCTAGACTTGTCTCAATTAGCCATCTATTACAATCCTTGAATCAAAATAGGGACATAGCCCTTACAACATAGTCCAAAAATGAAATGCTAGAAGGGAAATACAAATGACTCATCCGTCCTCGAATCATGAGGAATCACCACAAGCTAGGATAATAGTCGATCCAAGCTTGAACGAAATGAAGATCACCTCAACGTCCGGACCCTACACTTAGGGAAAATGTAGGAAAATATGGGTTAGTAAAAAAATGCACCAAGTATGATAGTCATGCATAAAATCAGGAAAACATACTAAAGAGGACATTTTAGTTTAAAAGCATGCATTTTACCAAGTTAGAAAATCATCATGAACTTTAGTGTAAAAGCATAAGTCATAAGCATATTCAACATATAGATCATCATAGCATAATAGAACCGTCTCATAAGTAACCCTAAGTCATACTTGAGCAATACATGGATAAGATCCCATAATCCCATCCATACTAAGTACCACTTTTAGGTCACCATAACCATACTCACCATTCTTTGATCTCATCCTTAGTTAATACTCATAGACGAGGAAGCATTCACCTTTAATAAGTCATATCAAGGAAAGCAACTCATAGCAACAATCCACATTAATCATACTTTATTTCATCAACCATCATAACATAAAAGGAACTCACCATAACTACTCTCAAAGCCTACTTGTGCAACGCATGAATGAGATCCAATACTCCCACCCACACTAAGTAGAGCTTCTTGAGAAGCCATAGTTCATAATCATTCATTGTGGGGGTAAGCCTTAACTGACATAGACCATGTGAGCTAAACATGGAATTCAGTGGACACTTAGCGCGTGACCACCGCGCGTGCGGATAGCTTAGAAGATGTACGTTTTTGTTCTTTTTTCCTTTCTTTAGCATTCTTGTTGGCCTTTCTCCCTAATCAGGTTCAATACTTGAATTTGCACACCTACACATATGAAACATAGACAATTAATTGCAAAGTTCACATTCAAAACATGTGTAAATTCATCTCATTTAATTACACATCAAATACCCCCACACTTGAACTTTTGCTCATCCCGAGCAAATTAGAACAACTAGACCCCCTCAACTTCAACCATCCGTATATGTGCATGCAACATTCATTGTTAAATGACTACTCATCGACAATGAAATTTAAGCGAAAATCAATCCATGAATTTTCTCACAACAAAGAAGATGCAATTTTATCATTAACAAACTTTTGTTCATGCATCAGAGACACAATCTCTCATTTCACTCACTCTCACAAAGAAATACATCATGTTTTTTCCAGAATACCATAGGCTTTGCAATTGAGTAATTCTCCACTAATATAGTCCTTCTCGAGTTAAAATCATGTAGGGCTTGCACAAGTGTAATTTATGAGAAGGGTGTTTGTAGAATATGAAAATAAAAAGTCATATCCCCCTTCTCTTTTTCACTCGTTTTTTTCTTCCTTTTTCTTTTGGCACCTTTCATGTTCTTTTGAAAACACATCCAACAACTTTCATTACTTTTCACACATGGCTAGATTCAATTGCTTTTTTTTTCATAATTCAATTCTCTACACTTCCGCTTATAATTCCAATTAAGAGAGTGACAGATAGGGGGATTAGACTAAAGGGATGTATCGGCTAATCAAATAAAATTGATTATTATAAGGATCAAATTAGTTGACTAGCGATACTTATCATCAATGGTCGGTGAATTTAGACTAGAAGTTGGTTAATCAAAGAAAGCCTACAATCACATTCTTCCTCAAATAGTCCTAGAATTTCACCTCAAAAAACTACCATGCCAAGTTCTAGATTCTTTCAAACATTTGTATATATCAAGATCTTCTCACCACACAATATTCAAGGATTGATAATGCCTCAACTTCACATGCCAACAAGTAAGCAAATTTTAATTAAGCAAGCAAATCAACCTCTAGATATAAATCAATCAAATTATACCTCTAGCACTTGTGCAACAATTATGCTACGACTCTTATCCTAAAAAAATGTCTGATTCAAAATAAATACGACTATTCTAAAAGAATAAGACAAGAAACCCATAGAAGCACAACAAAGAAGCTACCCTAGAAAGAAAAAAAATCTTTTTTTTAGTTATTTACAACCCCTTCACCCCCACACTTAAGCTATGTCATATCCCCATGACATAAAGAAAATGCAAAAGCAAAGGAAACTTCCCTCACTCTCTTTAGTTGGTGTCGAAAATAGTGTTTGGCTCCCTTGTGCGGGCTTGGCCAAGCGCACACACCCATGCTATGATCTTTTTATCCGACTTGGTTATCTTAAATGTGAGCTCATCCACCTTCTTCATATTGAATGCTACCTTTTCCTCTCCAACTCTAAGCATCAGTTTCCCTTCATACACATCAAGTATTGCTCTATCAGTAGCTAGGAATGGTCGGCCAAGAATTAATGGAACCTCCTTATTTTCTTCCATGTCCACTAAGATAAAATCTACTGGAAACACAAACTTGTCCACCCGAACTAGAACATCTTCAACTATCCCTTCAGGAATAATGGTGGATTGGTCAACCAACTGTAAGGATATTGGGATAGATTTTCTGATTTCGAGCTCTCCTTCCAACTTTTTGAATATGGGCAAAGGTAAGAGGTTTATAGAAGCTCCTGAGTCACAAAAGGATTTCTCAAATCTAGCAACCCCTAACGCACATGGAATAGTGAAACTACCTAGATCACCACATTTCTGAGGTAATTTATTTTGAAGGATGGTACTACAATGAGCATTCAACTTGACTACTGATGTTTTCTCCAATTTTCTCTTGCTGGATAAAACTTTCTTCAAAAATTTAGCATATCCAGGCATCTGGGTGATTGCCTCAGTGAAAGGAATATTCACATGTAGTTGCTTCAGCATCTCTAAGAACTTCCAAAATACTTGTCAAGCTTCTCTCATTTCATTTTTTGAGGTAAAGGCAATGCAGACATGTATTTAGAAACAATTTCTAGTTTTGACTTCTCCTTTCCTTTCTGAATTTTGTTGGACTTCCCTACTACTTTTTTACTTCCTTGTTTCTCATCTTGGCTCTTTGCAACTTCACAATCTTTGCTTTTACAATTATCTTTTAACGTTTTTCCACTTCGCAAAGTCACAGCTTTCAGCTCCTTGGGGTTCCTTAATGTGTCACTTGGAAGATTTCCAAGTGGTCTTTCAGATATTTGATTAGCAATCTGTCCAACTTGCTTTTCTAAATTTTGAATAGAAGCACCTTGAATTTCAAACCGATCATCAACCTTAGTGGTGAAACTTTTAAACATCTCTTCCAAACTCGATTGGTTCCCATGTTGTCCCTCATGAGGTTGATATTGTTGTCGCTGGTGATTCTGGTACCCCTGAAGTGTTTGTCCTTGTCCTCTCGCATTGTTCTGTTGCCACACATTCAAACTACCATTTGGTGAGCTCCATGAGAATCCAGGATGCCTTTGCCCCATTGCATTAAAATTGTTTGCTTCTTGATAGTTCCCTTTGTTTAAGTTTCCAACAACATTAACCTTATCTTATGTAAATGATCCTTGTTGACATTCATGAGTAGGAAGCCTTCCTGTACAAAAACTCACACATTATTGATTGCGTCAATTGAGCCTGGGCTAGAGTCAATTGTTTCACATCCTTTGCAATTGATGCAATATGCGCCCACAAGGTAGTATAAGTATCAACTTGGTGCACCCCTAGAGTCTTCTTCCTTTCAGAATTCTCTACAACCCACTGATTAGCATCCTCTGCAAGTTCATTTAGGATTTCAATAGCTTCTTTAGGTGTCTTTTTCATGTTTGGTCCTCCCACTTCATTATTTAATATCCTCCGTGACGCAGGTGATAATCCTTCTCAGAAATTTGTCAACTGCAGCCATGGCTCTATTCCATTATGTGGACACTTCCTCAACAATTCCTTGAATCTTTCCAATGCTTCAAACACTATTTCTGATTCTAGTTGACTGAAATTGTTGATCTCATTCCTTATTCTAGTTGTTTTTGCTGGTAAGAAATACTTATCAAGAAACTTTGTCGTCATTTCATCCCAAGTGTGGATTGATCCAGAAGGTAAACTACGTAGCTAGATCTTAGCATCATCCTTCAAAGAGAAATGGAATTCCCTTAAGTATATAGCATCGTCTGATGCTCCATTGTAGTGAAAAGTGTTCATGATTTCATCAAAATCCATTAGATGACTGGTTGGATCCTCATTTAGCTTCCCTCTGAAAACACAATTATTTTGTATTGCTTGGAGAACACTGTGCTTGATCTCAATGTTATTTGCTGCAATAGGAGGACATCTTACACTGGACTGGATCCTATTGTAATTTGGCTTAGCATAGTCTCCTAGCAATCTCCCCGCCCTTCCATTATTTTGATCCATTTAATCTTCCATGTCAGCAGAAAGGCGGTGAATTCTTTGATTAACAACCCCAGGATGTTAAACATCATCTTCAATCCCATGTGCGCGATTTAGGTTATCAAGATTGAGTGGGTCATTCAAACCCCTATTACCGGTATTTATATCACCCATTGTATTAAGCCTCTGAGACTGCCCTGAAAGCCTTTCGGCAAGTTCCTTCTTAAGCAAGCGTAAAGTTTGTTCCAACTTTGGATTGTATTCGATAACTTCTGTTGAGGAAGATCGTGTCATATACCAAAGTTTTGGTTAATTCATGTTCACTGCAATACTGGGAACTTGAGGTGTTAACTTAAAAAAAATAAAAATAAAACAAAAACTGAATTAATACACAAAACTCTATTAAAAACTACTTGTTGCCAATCCCCGGCCACGGCGCCAAACTTTGATGAGCACAAACACACTATAAGTTTAGTGATTCACTATTCAAAGATAGTATAGTATAAAGATCGTCTCCACTGGGATTGGTACAAATAATAATTCAATTAAATCTTGCTAACTATTATTCAGGTGATCAAAAGAAAGTAGTTGGTTGTGATTATGAAGTACTTTTATAGACTAAATTATAATTAAAAACAATTAGTAACTATGAAATTTAATATGAATAATAAATGATAGGGTACAAGACGAAACAAGTGCATAATGATAGTTGGGATTTCACCACATTCATTTATCACATCTAAAGTTATATCGATTCTCTCGAATTCGATAGCTTATTAGAGTATCCTTATGCGTTAGATTTTTCTTTCGAGTAAATCTCAGGTTAAAGAATAAACCAATTATAATCTTGTGATTCTATTATGCAAGAACACGTTAATGAGAGTTCTTAAGGAAGTAACGTCCTTCGACTATTTTTCCTTGAGATTTAATCAATAATTATCAACAAGCTCCTTCGATTACTTTATAGAAAATATATTGATTCAATCCAACAAAACTATCCAACAATATTCACCAAGATATTCCTCGTTCGATTAAATATAATAACGAACGAGGTTGCAATTCAATTCAAATTCCCATAACAAGTTCAAGCATAAAAATTAAAATCAAAATCTCAACAAATTCATCAATACAACATGTTTGTTAAACACCCTTAAAGAATCTACTTCATGGATGAGAATAATTTTATTAAGAACAAAGATGAAAAAGAAAATATAGTAATAAACTATGAATCCCAACTTTCGGTTTGGATTCGAGTAGTGTACCACGTGTTCCACCTCCTCTCCTTCGTAACCTAGCTTTTCCTTTTGCTCTTTTTCTCCATTCCTTGCTTGGGGAAAGTTCGAACATCATATAGCATAGGGTTTCCTTCGAAATTCCAAAAAACACCCTTCCTTTAATGATTTCACGCCTACCCTCCGTGCAGGCGCGCCACTGGAAACCCAAGCGCGCGGAGAGGTAGTAGCTGCTCTAATGTGTCCGCATGGGCGCAACGCTAGACACTTGAGCGCGCGACCACCGCGCGGGCGGATAGCTTAGACGATGCATGTTTTTGTTTTTTTTTGTTTCTTTAGCATTCTTGTTGGCCTTTCTCACTAATCATGTTCAACACTTGAATTTGCACACCACACATATGAAACATAGATAATTAATTGCAAAGTTCACATTCAAAACTTGTCTAAATTCATCTCATTTAATTACCCATCACCAAGCATAAAATCATGAAAACATGTTAAAAAGGACATTTTAGTTGAAAAGCATGCACTTCACCAAATTTGAGAATCATCGTGAACTTTAGTGTAAATTCATAAGTCATAAGCATATTCTATATATAGATCATCATGGCATAATAAAACCATCTCATAAGTAACCCTAAGTAATACTTGTGCAATGCATGGATAAGATCCCATAATTCCATCCATACTAAGTACCACTTTTAGGCCACCATAACCATACTCACCCTTCTTTGATCTCATCCTTAGTTAATACTCATAGACGAGGAAGCATTCACCTTTAATAAGTCATATCAAGGAAAGCAACTCATAGCAACAATCCACATTAATCATACTTTATTTCATCAACCATAATAACATAAAAGGAACTCACCATAACTACTCTCAAAGCCTACTTGTGCAATGCATGAATGAGATCCAATACTCCCACCCATACTAAGTAGAGCTTCTTGAGAAGCCATAGTTCATAATCATTCATTGTGGGGGTAAGCCTTAACTGACATAGACCATGTGAGCTAAACATGGAATTCAGTGTTACCTACACCGAAAAGGGTGTCCTACATGCCTAAGGTAGAACCATTAACTTAGCTTAGGTGGATCCACTAGCTAAAAACCTATGAGTGCACATAGTTGTGGGACAAGGAGATTGCTACTAGATACCCCACCTCAACTCACGTATGGGCATCCATCTCAAGAGATTACTTCTAGAAACCCCACCTCAACTCATGTGACTTCCATCTCATATCAATATCCACTCGGTGCTAAGCATTACTCCCCACAGAGTACTTATCATATCATTACTTGAGTTCATTTTTATGGAAGAACGTTTCAACACTCAATCCAATATCATTCATAAGACTCCTAGATTCAATAGGTGAGAATAGACTTTCAACCTAAGAACCATCATATTGTGAGAAAACCTTTCACAACATGTCCTCATCATTCATAGGTGTGTAATTGAGAATAGCCTTTCAACAACACACAACAAGATCATAATCATAATCACTTTACTCTCAAGTGTTCATAAAGCATATACATAAATTTCATAATCATGCATAATTCTCCAACATTGCCCTTCAAGGACCATAGATCATAATCCATCAACACGTCTAAAATTCATACATTAGACATGGATGATAACATAAGTAAAATAGATCATACTACAAGCATAATTCTATCATATTCTTCTTGCATCAATTAATACCCACCTTTTAAGATCCAAATTGGGAAAATACAGGAATTCATGGATTCTTGAGGAATTCAACTTAAAATCTTATTAAATCATCAATATATCCCTAAACAAACATAATTCAATCATTAAAAATAAATTTTAAAGGAATCCATGAGATTGAAGTCAAACCCTAGCTTTTGGGATTTCTAGCTTTGAAATTGTGGTTTTGAAGGGGCTCCATTCGTGAAGGCTACCCATGGATGAAGATCTACCATAACTTAGTGAAGAATTTCCATGAATTTTAGAAGAAAACCTAGTTTCTTGAACCCTAGCTTCAACTTCCTTCGTCTTCTTCCTTGAAGTTATAGATAGAGGAACTTTTGGAGAAGATGAACTCTTTTGGGTTTTAATTTGGGTTTTAGGAAATAATGAAGTGAATGGGTTGGTTAATGACTTTAAAAGGCTTATATAGGTGTATTAAAAATATTCAAAACGACCTCACTTAATACTAACTATAATAGGAATTACCTAAAATAACCCCCACTTTAAAGTGGGGTGCCCAGGCCTCACGACCAAGCTCACGACTCGTCAAGGGTACCACGGCCCATGAAGGTGCCCGTGGT